TGATTATGGACGATTACTTGGCCACTAGTTTTCAGCCCACGCTCGCCAGGTTGAAGAAGCTTTGAGTCACGTAAAACCATTTCATCACCGCTTGTTTACTTAGAAATAATAATCCCTGAAGAAAGAAGGAACATTTGTGGAGCTCACTCCCCGTTAAGTGTTTATTTGTTTCATTAGACAATAAGAAATACTTAAGGGAACAAAACCGTGTAAATGAAGACTGTTATTTTAAGATTGAGTCCAGGGACAGAAAAGACAATCATTCACAGTGTTAGGGGACGCTGAAACATTGTCATATTTACAGTGACCTTCTTTTCTACCAGGCAGCGGAGTACATCGCTAAGATGACCATAAACCCTATCTATGAACATGTGGGCTACACCACCCTGAACCAGGAGCCCACCTTGAAAAAACACTTACCGCTCAGCCCAGAGGCCCCGGACGGACCCGCTCCGGCCAAAGACGACCACAACGCGGAGGAGAGGGTGAGGACAGATGCACTGATGCTGGGATTTGACAAGGGGTTGTTCTGGAAATACTCAGTACCGATCAATATCTACAAAGCTCATAACTCTTCCAGAAATCTGGATTCTTTTTTAACAGGAACTGCAGCAAGTCAGGCCAAAAGCATCCTTCAGTTAACATTTGTTTTTGGCAAATCAACCTGAAGGCTTAGGAGGTTTCTGGAGTAAAAGAAAAGCAGTAGTGTTGGCACAGAATAATATTCCCTTTAGGAAGCGACAGTCTGAAATTAGCCCATAAAAAGAACCATTCTGAGACTAATTTAATCATTCATCAAGTCTCTTTGACTGGCTGTTTTGTTAATTTCCTTTGCATGTCGCAGAAGTCAATAAAAATGGGGATTAATTAGACATTCGTGTTATCTCCAAAGTGATATCAGTAATGAGTAGAGAAACCGACAGTGGAAAATGTGCAGGAACGCTGAGATGAGCTTTGGTTTTTAGGATGGATTCATCCAGAGAGAGAATTAGAGATGGGCTGGATTTACATTTGCGTCTTTAAATGTAAATGTTTGCGCCTGAATCCAGAAGACACAAGAAGTCATTTGATTCACGCTGTGGGCAGTGTGCAAAAGAAACTGGAGCGATCGATCTCTTCATAATATTTCCAGAATGTAGTAAAAAGTCTGATAAAATGATATATAAAGTAGAGCTGCAACGATTCCTCGAGTAACTCGATTACAAAAAATGATCGAGGAAGCTTCGTTTAATTAAATTTAAAGCTCACGTTTCGCACGGATTCTTTTTAGTGTGACACAACGTGCGTCCCCTACAACGGCGTTTAAGTATAACGGCGTTATTTTTTCAGTAACGGAGTAATGAATTACTTTTCCCATCGTTGCAACGCCGTTACCGTTACTGAGAATGTGAAGTGGCGTTACTACAGATTGGTTGACACCGGGACCGAAAACAGTGAAAATGAGCGAACGCGAAAGTAATAAGAGTTAGAGACAGAAGATGTGGAAGGTGTGGGATTATTTTAAATTAAAAAATGAAGGACAACATCGTGGTGTGTGTACATTAAAGATGGAGCTAGTTTGAAGTAATTTTATTTATTTTTATTAGAAATTTTGACTGAAACGGTTTACTACTTTGCATAATATGTATAATAAATAAATGTCAGTTTTTCTTAAAAAGGAAACAAATTGGTTGTTATTATTAAGTGATCTGTCTTGTTTTCTATTGTATATTTATAATCGGGCTTTAATTAAGCAAAAGTATGTTTTATCCGATTACTCGATTAATCGATGGAATATTCGATAGAATACTCGATTACCAAAATATTCGATAGCTGCAGCCCTAGAAGTTACTGTTGCTTTGGCCTCTGATCACATGTCCTTGCATATTTCTGTAAACCTCAAACACATTCCGTCTTATCTTTGATATGTTTGAGGTTCTTCGCTGCCAATCTGCAGATTCAATACCCAGACAATCTGCCACTCTCTTGTCCTGCATCCTACAGTACATAACCAATCATTGTGATTACCTGTGACGGCTTCCGGCGGTGTGGGCTGCTTCTCCTGAGTGGCACTGGCACTGGCACTGGCACTGGGCACACTTGGCATGGGGCCATCTGGAAAGGGACTGGCTGCTGGAGGACAGACTTTTCTGCATGTGGACAAAGTGCTTCCTGGTGGACACTGACTTTCTGGGGTCTGCTTGTTGCTCAGCTCCAGTGATGCCATAGTTTGGGGCTTGCTGATTGTAGTTGCTACCACCACTGCTGGAGGACCACCTCTCACCAGCAACTGACTGTTTAAAGCAGTGACTGTTGCGCAGCTGCTTTGTGTCTGACTGCATCTTGCTGCTGGTTTCGCTGAATGGCTCCTCCGTGTAGTTGCAGTTTCTCTTGTTGTGCTTTTTATTTCTGCTTTTGTGCTGTCAAAACAGGAGGCATCCTTTCCCAACGCTGCCCCCAGATGTTCACCGAGAGTAAGGCATAGAGGAGGCACTGAAGGCAAGGAGGAACAGTCTGCAGCTTCAGGCTATAAAGACAAAGCAAGGATAGGTCAGAAGTGGAGGAGGCTGTGAGCTGACACACACAAAGCTTACAAAATGTAAAAGATTAACATAGTCAGTAATTACACTGAACAGACAGCTCAACTCTAAGGTACTGATATTCAAATGAAAGCGGAGTTTATTAGCAAGGGTATGAGTGCAACAAATAATAACCCTAACTATGATTTAATGACTAAATGTCACTGAATGGAGCAAAAGAATATTCAGTTAAGTTTACACAAACATTAACAATGCTTACATACAACACCTTTAAAGCATGCAATGCTTGTAAGGCATTATAATTGAAACTATAGCCCAACTAATACTGGATTTGCGAGGCTGGAGTTTTAAAAAATCCAATAACGATGTATCATCTGATTTTGTCCCATAAAAAAAACAATGTTAAAACTAACCCCACAGATTAGTTTTTTTAAGAGCTGTGACCAAGATTCACAATAATAATAAATGAAAAATCAATCCCTATCGGGGAAACGGTCAGTGTTTGGTTTAGTTCTGGGCTACTGTAGAAACATGCAAGAGAGTGAATGAGGGAACGGTGTTACAGACTACCAAACCTTATCTTTGCATTGTTTGTCTGTGGTTATGTTCTAAAGTACAAATAAACACGCCAACACCTCCACACAACCCTGCAGGAAGGAGCCACATTACCGGATTTTGTGTGAATGCTGCCACACACCTCTTGTAGAAGAAATTTTTTTTTTTTCTCTTTAGGAAATCCTTCTCATTATGCCTTTAATGTAAGGAGTTAAAAATCCAACTTTAGTGACTGAAGCTCTCTTTATTATACTGCTGGGACAATGTTGCACGTTGGGAAACATGAACACTCACCATCGACTTGTTAGCTTGCTGCAGAGAGGGC